GGTTAGTGACCGTAGTTCCCAGTGTGAGGCTACTTCAATTTCCCACCTTCTCTGCACCGGCGTCCATCCACTCCTGCGCATTCTTGTCGCTGATGCCTCCTCCAACCTGAAGCCCGCCGGGCCAAGCTCGCAGTGCCTCCTTTGCAGGGCCGTTGTTTCCAGGGCCCAGCATGATAACATGCGCCCCTGTGAGGCCATTGTCCTTGTACAGCTGGGCAAAGTGTGCGGGGGGATGCTGAGAGACAAAGTTGGTCTGAAGAGCCGAGGAATCACTATCAAGAGTACCGCCGACAATCTGTTTTACCTGACCCGCGTGAAGATCGATGCATGGCCGGAATCGCGTCATTGTGGGCTGTCTGGTCGGAGCTGGGATTTTGAGGAGTGTAACTCACGACGCTGCCAGAGTTGAAGATTGGTGACTGAGTTTGTGGCCATCGTTGATGTGGGGCAGATCCGCAAAAGAAAGCGCCGTCTGCAAGTCTCTTTCTTCCCTAGGACACAGGATGCAACGGGCTCTGACTACCATCGTTCATTTTATTCGAATTTGAGAACTTATGGTGTTTTAGCTCAAGGAGAGGTCCTAGTTCTGGACCACTCAGTCGTATTCTTGGGCTTGACTCTGACAAAATAGAAATTCACGACACAACCTTGAGGATGAAGCGTTTCCAACCTCACGAATATCAGAACCGATTCAAGACCTGGGATGACGGTTTGCCTGCCTAACTTGTTCCATATATTCTGAATGGCTTGGGAAGACATGGATGAGGACATCATACATCTGCTTTTCAACGGTGAACGTCTTTAGTCGACTACAAGTGGGACGGTACATGTGGGAATCGATCATTATTGCTTTCAACAGATAAATAAATTCGTGAATCATCATTATTAGGACCAAGCGATTCCCAAGTCAAGAGTCAATCTAGCTCACAAAACAATGGAAACAGACTCGCCAAACCCCAGGGAATAGACTTAATGCTCTGGACAGCACCAGCCCTTGCATAGCTCTGAGCAAATATGCCAAGTGGCATGGACCGTCGCCGATTCCATGCTTCTACCGCGTCTTGGTGTCCTCGATGGAGGTGCCAGGTTTGGTTGTCGAGACGCAAACGTAGTGCCAATGTCCGTGTCCACGGTACGACTGGACTCCCGCGATGGTGTTGATGAAATACCGCTCCAAGGATAGGAAGGTGACGATAAGGTAGGGGATGTAAGCCAGCAAGTAGAACAGCCTTGTCATGGGCTTGATGTTGTCAGAGTAGTCTCGGACAACCACCTTGGTGAAACCGGCATCTTCGAGCATGGTCTTGAATGTGCCAGGGTGGGACATTGCATTCGTTGGCATGGCGGCGAACTCGTTGATCTTGTGCATGTCCTCTACCATGTCACCGGGCGAACCGTCGGCCAACTCATGATCGTATTCGAAGAGTGACAAGCGGCCGCCTGGGCGAAGAAGACGATAAAAACCTGCCAGGACAGCTGCAGGGTCGGTGGCGTGCACGAACGTCTCCATGGTGTAAACGCCGTCGAAGGACTCCTCATCTAAACTTTCCAGATGGTGGTAGTCCATCCTGCGGGCCGACACTTGGCCATCGGGAAGACCAGAACGAGCAAAATTCCTCTGCGCCTTTTCTATATGATGGTCTATAATGTCGATGCCTTGGACGCGGTATCCGTGCTTATTTGCCAGGTGCAAGGCGACATGGCCCACGCCACATCCAGCGTCAAGAACATTGGCGCCTTTGGGAAGGTCTAGTGAGGCGGCCAGTTTATCCTCCATTGCGCGAAGGGCACGGCTGAGGGGGAAGGCCCAGTAGGTGTCATTCTCGTAATAGCCAAAATGGCGTGTGCCGCCGAGGATAAATCGATATCCGATTCGCGATTCGAGCGTGTGGTAGTAGGATTGGAGTTGGGGGTTGCTGTTGACAGCTGGTTCGGGCTGGGCGCTGGACGCCATGGTTGCGGTTTGCTGGAGCGGCTCGAGATGGTGAGGCAAACGTGAATTTGGGGCGGAAAGGGATATGCCTATGTCTGCCTGTCTGCGCGAATTGTGTGCCTCGGTGTCAGGTTTGGGAATGTCGAGGCTGTCGCAAGTGAAGAAACAGGAAGCGGGACGTGGCCCAATTAATGGAAATTTGGGCGCGCAATGAGGCTGGGTGCTACAGGTGACGGACCAACTCGGTGATTGGTGCTGGAACCGCCGCGCCGTGATGCGCCACATTAGGTCGTCACGCACTTCGTATACATTGTGTTTAGGTAGGTAGCAGGTAGATTATGCACCAACATGCATTCGTATTTCACTCTCTGTACCAACAGCCACCGGGTAAACGGGGAATGAATTAATGGAGTATGGAAGTGTACGAATACATGCACTACTAGTAGCAAACTAGGCACGCCACTAACGCGTCCGCTATAAGTCGGAATCACTGCCCCACTAATTACGAGGCCGATCATAAGCAAGCTATTCATAGGGAAGCCTGCCTCCCAGCTGTACTGTAGTATCATACAGTCGCACCATTCATAGCCTTTTCTAAGCTCTCATCAGTAAAGACTGGCTTGAAAGGACGCCATACTAAAATTATGCAGTAGACGTTACGTCCCCGAGTGTCCAACGTCCATTTTGACCAGCGCTACCGACCTGGACTGACTTATGCCTCAGCCAGGATAACAACCAGCCTGATCTGACAACTCACATCAGGGGACGCCTTAGCCTTTTCAATAGGCAGCCCGATAATTTGGCTAAGACTGAAGGAAGGTAAGAAGTACTGACTTAGTAGAGTATCTTGTGTGGTGCACAATGTTCTTGATGCTTAGTTGCTGCTCGTTCTGGACTGTACGGCCCTCAATGAAGCTGCACATGGTACCTTCAAAGGAGGTACGTTGTTTCAGGGAATGCAGCCCAGCCTTTTCTGCAGACTGCCTTTGAGGGGCTGTCCTTCCCCAATTGTGACGATGGCATGGCCCCAGTCTGTTGGTTGTGTTTAAGGCTGGCGCTTAGCTCTCCCCCCTGCTCACTGCCTCCGTGATGTGATATCCTGCCTCTACCCACTTGCCTCCCAAAATCCTTGAAGATGGGCTGTGCTTGATGTCTTCTTCTTTATCGACGAATGCTGCTGGCAAGTAAACCCGTCTCGATGTCACCCAACACTACCCTGGATGAACAAATCTATGGATGGAAGTCATCCAGCACTGACAGGGGGACTATTGACATTATGTGGTCCTCCTGCATTACTATCATTCTGTGCTGTTGGGTTTCGATGTACCCCAACGTCGGTTTGCCCACTGACAAATGGTACCATGTATTCTATGATAAGATTGGTCTGGCACTGATTAGTGTACTGGGACCCGACTTTTTGTTTGGGATTGCCTTTGGGCAGTGGTCAAGTGTCAGGAGAAGTGTCAAGGTTGGTCATATCTACGACAGTTCTTTCAAGAAGACTGAAACACCAGTGTGGTGGCATGTGCAGCTAACAACGCTGCTATCGCAGGCCTTCAAAAGAGACAAGCATCTTTGCAATGGCCAGACGTGGACGTATACCAACGCTTTCTTCGTCGACATGGGTGGAATTCACCTCACCAGCCCCGACTTTCAAGACGGCTTCCCAATCAACACCGAACAGCTACACTATCTGGTTTCGCACAAATATGTCGACTTCCCCGATATGGAAACAATGGAGATTGCGGAGAGAAATAGTCTGGATAGACTCTCACGGTTAGTGTCATGGTGTGGTACTATTGCTATGCATATCTGACTCCATACTGTCCAGTGTTATCACCGTCTTCCAAGCCTTCTGGTTCCTTGTCATCGAGGTGCAAAGATACAAAGTAGGGCTGCCAATGACAACTTTGGAACTGACCGCACTTTTGTTCACTTTCATCATGTTCGCAACATCAGTCCTCTGGTACTCCAAACCGTCCATCACAAGGCCTCGCTCCATTACCACAAGAGAAGACACAACCGTCCAGGCAATCCGCGACTTTGCTAGGTCTAATGTAAGGACCCCCCAAGCTAGATTCTTACTGGCCACGTCTCCTAACGTTCGTTGCCTACAGACACACCCTCACCTTTCCGACGACTGGTACCAGAACGCCGTTAGAATTTGTCGGTCGAGACGGATTTCGAATCAACACTCATTGGCACTACTATGTCAAACTGACGCACAAGGCGCGCGTTTGGCTTATGTCACGGCCCATGCAAGCCCGTCCCTGGGATAGGTTTCCATCAGACCTATGGATTTGCCCAGATTTGATCTTCGCACCGTTCGGCGCGGTTGTGTTAGTCGGATTCAGCGTATTGTTTCTCCTGGCATGGAATTTTCATTTCCCGACACCTACCGAGAAACTTTTATGGAGAATCTGCAGTGTCTATCACGCAGTCTTCAGCCTCTACGGTGGTGTATACTACTTGATTGAAATGTTCCGGAATCGCCGCCGTGCCAGCCGAAACTTGCGGAAATCACTTCAACGACGCGGCGTGGCTCTGTAAGATCTCGAGTCTCAAGAAACTACGAATACTAGCAGCCAAACCCCGGAGGGCCAATGCACGCTCCCGCGTTGCGTGTTGAATCTGGCCGCGGAAATGAGAAACATATCCGATGGTCGAGACCCAGAAATGGCGATCCCGCTGCGGATCCTTGTCCCTGTTACGTTTACTTGTGCACTGTATATTTCTTGTCGGTTTTACATCTACTTTGAAGATTTCTTTTCCCTGAGAGCGCAGCCGGCTGGCGTTTTCTTTCGGTCAACAAATTTATTCCATTTCTCGTGGGTCCCTAGGTTACCTACCTATGCAATGGCAGGATTTGGCGTTGAAGAGGCACACATTGGAACTTGGTGCACTCTGGACCTGGTTGGTTAAGCAAGGCATTCTAAAGGTTGGATAAAAGCAACTTTAATTGGGTATAGGGACCTTTTACTTTGAAGGAAACATAAAGAAGCGTTATTAACTTCTCGTCATCATGTCGTACATCATAGTAGTTATTAACGAGCCTGTGATGCACAAAGCGGAATTAGTGTAGTGGTTATCACGCAGCATTCACAAGCAATTACTGCTATCTCCTGCTGAGGTCGAGGGTTCGAACCCCCCATTCCGTACTCTTTTTAAGTTATTGTCCTTTCAATAACTTTTTGCAACCGGTTTAAGCATTGAGGCATTGAAACTGATCAATCACTACCTATCTATATCTCCTTACAATGGATGACAACGATTCGTTCATCTAATTGTATTCGAATTCATACAAGCCCTACCTTAAAACAGTAGTGTGTTCTAGAGCCTTTTTTGGTGGGGCGTACTTGTGGCGCCTTACCCCCATCTCGTTGCCATGATACGCGAGAACGTGCGCTGCTCTCTGTCGAGAAAAGGTGAATGCAAACATGTAAATATGCACAAACAGTAACAGCCTATCCTAGAAGCAACCGGATGAGTATAGGGGAGAATGAACACGGCCACCGCTGGTTCCTCGTCCTCGAATCTAACGCTTACGGCTCGCCGTACTTGACACCGGGCCTGCCTTTGAGCAAGCGAGACAAACAAAAAAAAAAGAACATAAACGGAAAGAAGAGAAAGGCGGTGTATATTTAATACTAGAAAAACTAACAGACTAAATGCTGTGACTCAAGTAACAAGTAGTGAGGATGGCGCAGGAAGCAAGCAAGTGTCTCATGATTGTCAAGTTCGAGAGTTACGATCCCAATGCGGTTCCTACTATAGTAGGATCGACGGTTACAGATAAAAGATTGAAGAAGCGTACGACAGCAATTAAAACAACCCTGAGCCCCTAGGGCTATGCTTAACTACCTAGTAGCGTATGAGCTGGGTATCTATCAGTGTGGTATTTTAGGTGCGCCTGGCGGTACTGAATCCGAGTGGCAGATAACTGCTGCCCGGGCAGCCGTTACAACTTGGCCCATTCTACCCGACAGCTATCAACAGTTGCTTGAAGTTTCTGCAGGATTATTTCTTCTGCCTCTGGCCGAGAAAGAACCCAGGCCAGCCCTTCTCAAGCAAACACACCCCCAAGCCCTGTTCATTATCTGATTCTAGGTGCTCATAATTTCACCAGCCTTTTTTTTTTGACCACGCTCGCGCGCGCTCCCATCTCTGTTCTCTTTCTTTCTCATATCAGAAGATATCAAAGGAAACATCTTTGCTGTTACCTAATCAGAATCGCGCTAACATGGCCAACACATGCCGTGCCGACTACAGTCTCGACGACTTAAAGTTCGATGAGACACTTGGATTTCAAGGAATGGATGAGGATTGTCGACCTTGCGTCCATTGCGTTGAGAAGGTCCATGAGACCCTTACCGTGGGGTACCATTGCGATCATAGACAATCTCCTGTGTCGTATCTACAAGAAGGGCGCACGATTGTTGGTGTCAAAGTCTGTATCTGACTTCTGAGCGGGACTTTTCGAAAATACTGACTATTGATGTAGATTCCGGATATATTCTTGGGCCCTGCTCAAGCCCTCTGGAACAGTGTTCACAAGTCCGAGACTATTCTCACCGAGTTTCGTAGCAGTGATACGAGCAAGGGCCCTCAGTCCGAAAAGGTTGACCGTGCTATAACGAGGGCTTTGGCTGCATGGAAGGCGCTCATCCTGTCCGCTTATAACTCTGACCGGTTAGAACCCCAGCTCACATCATCGCTCCAGCTCCAGGAGACTGCCGCTATTCGAGAAGTGCTATTCTTGACGCTTCTCATTACAGTACATCTCAACAAACTGTCTGTCTCCTTTGTCATCACTAACGCTTTCTTAGAGCCGTGCACCCCTGTCAGAGACGAGGGGCGAGCGTAACATGAGAAAGGTTATGCCCCCTTACATCTTGCATGATGCTATCATCGAGGAGCTCCGTGGTACGGTGTACCTCCTAGGAGAGACTGTAACGGAAGCTGAGAAGATTCTCAATGATGGGCCCCAGGACATCCAACTTTTGCAACAGGCCTAAGACTTGGTGGACTGTCGCCAACAGCTCGCTAGGGTCTGTCCGGCACATAGGATGTTCACCAAGGTACTGATATGAGGGTCTAATTGTTTGGCGAAATTGGCCGTGTTCAACTTGAATGGCAGAATGGGCGTTGAGGTAATGCAGACCGGTTGGGTTGGGCGTGGCACTTCAGCAAGAAACGACCACAGCAAGGACGACCTCGGTCGGCGGTAGTTAGGGGTCTGTATGTTGTGTATTCGTACACGATAAAACCGAATTCCGCGGCCTATTCCATACTAGACCCGTAAAGTTCGTACGTTGGTTTCGTAGTTAGGTCCCTGTGCAGGCCTGGCAGGCATGCTTGTCATTCCATTGTGACAACCACGTGTATGGTTTCGTTAAAGCGAAGCTTCCCACGAGAGCTCGTGAAACATAAGCAATGAGAGAGAGAAAATGGCATATATATTTAGACATCCAGTAAACATGATCGGCCATAAAAAGGACATAGTTCGAGTTTCCATGACGCCAAAGCGCGGAGGCTATTCAGTCACGACTACTAGTTTGTAGGTACCTTACTCTAGTCAAGACGCTCAAAAAGAACCATGGCTGTAACTCAGAGCAAACAACACCAAACCGGTGAAGACGAAGATGCATGACATGCAATTAAAGAGATCGAGTGCGGCAGACAAGGGATAAGCCGGCGGTAACGACATGAGACATTCGGAACATTCCGCGGCAGCACAGTTGCGCAAACGTTCAATTATCTTGACAGCTGTTGAAATCCACTAGGGCTTTCAACTTTATAATGCCGGTTTTTAGTGCGTTTCAGAGATCGTCGGCCGTTGCCCTGGATTACGCCGGGCCGTTTTGTTTGGATTCTGGGAGCTTTGACCAATCAGCAGCCGGCGCGGCACAACCAGCGTGGGAAAGCTGAGGGGCTTTACGGCAGCCGAGTGACATGACGCGGCAGGGTTCGTCTCACCGAAATTCCGGTCGCAAGTTTCGCAACAACTTTTCTCTCCCGAGCATGCTCGCCGCGGCTGTTCGGCCTTGTCTCCTCCCGCCGAAGCTTCGCGTACCTCTTGCGACCAGAGATCTGGAATGCGCCGCGGCCTAGCTGCTCCACCCGCCTGTGCAGCCCGAGACAATGCCTGACGAGTCCCGCTCCCGCCCTCCGCGGGATCGTGAGCCCCGCGATCGCGACCTCCGAGATAGGGATCGGGACCGGGATAAGGGTCAAGGGGGCAGGGACGACAGGGACATTAGTCCAGACAGTCCGGACAGACGGGCTAGAGACAGGGACGACAGAGACGACAGAGACGGCAGAGACGGCAGAGACGACAGAGACGACAGTCCGGACAGCCCAGACAGACGGAACAGAGACAGAGACAGAGACAGGGATCGAGTGGACAAAGGCCGAGTGGACAAGGATCGAGCCGACAGAGACCGGGTGGACAGAGACAGAGACCGACCGGACCGAACAGACCGAGACGACAGAGCGGGTAGAGGCGACAGAGACAAGGACAGAGATCGTGAACCGAGAGACAGGGACAGAGACACCCACCGCGACCCTCGTGACCGGGAGCCCAAAGACAGAGACCGCCCCAGCCACCTCCGCGATCGAGAACACCTAAAGGAACAGCCAGCCAGCAAAAGAAACAGCATCACCGACCGCCTCTTCAGCTCCTTCAGCGCAGTCCGCAACAAGGATGCCCCTCCGCCTGTCACAAGGTCGTCCCTCAACCCCGTGCAAAGACGGTCCAGCTCCGCGACCAAGCAGAGTCCCGTACCGCGCCTTCGCGAGTGGCTCGACGCCTGCAACATCGAGCACGAGCACCACTGCGCCGTCAGCTCCGACACAGAGGTTCCCACGTGGCACCCCATCTGGCTGATCGATGTCGTCGAGCGCCGTCTTGTTAGAGCAACTAACAAGGATCGATACCTCGCTCTCAGCTACGTCTGGGGATCGCCCACCCCCCGCCGCACTGCGGCCCCGACTCAGTTCCAAACGCTCAAGTCCAACATCGGCGCATTCCAGGAAGCGATCCCCGACAACGATATCCCCCAGACCTTTGTGGATGCCATGTGGCTGGCTAAGAAGTTGGGCATCCGCCATTTATGGATCGACAAGCTGTGCATTGTGCAGGATGACACGGAGGAGATGGACAACAACGTCAGACACATGGCATACGTGTTTGCTAATTCCTATCTCACCCTCGTGGCCGCTGCCGGCGATGCCCATACGGGCCTGACGTCGTTGAACCCCCGGAAACCAACCCGTGGCATCCGCACCGGCGGTCGTGATCAACAAGAGCTCATCCTATCTTCAACCTGGAACACCCGGGGCTGGACGCTGGTAGAACGTCTGTATTCTCGACGATGCGTCTTCTTCTTCGAGGACCTCGTCACCTGGGAGTGTCACTGCGAGAAGTGGTCGGGAAGCCCCTCGAGCGTAATGAAGAAGATTCGTGGAACCCGCCACGACTGTCCGAATCCCGTTCCTGACGCCGCCTTCGCCTTCCACCACACGGCCTGGCCTGACCTCGATGAATATGCCCGCATCGTCATGGACTACAGTGCCCGGAGACTGACCCTCGTCGACGACACTATCCGTGCCTTTGCCGGCATTACTCAGGTGCTGTCGCGCTCGTACCCGGGCGGCTTCATCTACGGCATGCCCATCATGTTCCTCGACATTGCGCTGCTCTGGCGACCCCACGCCTCAGTCCGTCGCAGGGCTCTCTCGCGTCAGCCGTTTCTGCCGTCGTGGTCCTGGATGGGCTGGTGGTTCGACAACATCCCCGTCGACCTTACGCTCTGGAGAGCTGCGGCCGACTATGTGGAAGACACAGTCAAGCCCGGCAAACGTGCCCAGGAATCGAAGCGGTTCCGATCGCCTCACAGCTTCCGCATTCGACCGACTGTAACGTGGAGCCTGACGGACCGGACTGCCACGGTGCCGGTCCAGAACATCGGCCTCCAGTTCCGCGATCTTCGGGGCCGACGAAGCGCCAGCGCGGATCTCCCGCCGGGATGGTCACGCAGCGGCTCCCTCTACAAGCACGACAGCGACGACGCGACCCTCTTCCGGTACCCCGTGCCGGTCGAGGACCCGCCCGATCCCGGCGGCTACGAGCCTCCGGCCGGCGAACTGGCCCTCCCCG